TTCAGTGGGGGGCATCAAAGAGGCCAAAGATATGGCTTAAGACTCATTTAGTGGCTAATATTGTTGAAGACAATGAACTGCACGGGGACACGGTTAACCTTTGGGGCTTCAGACTGAGCTTCATCTTTACCCATAGAAGGAGTGCTTCTGATCCCTTGTCAAGACTTGACAGGACACACGTACTGTACAGATAATCACACACACACACACACAATCCCAGACTATCTTCACCTCTCTCCCCCGTTATCGCAGCTCACTGTTTCCACTTGGTGATTTGTTTTATTAAAATGTGATTTTCTCTGCCACACTTTCTTTCCACCTCAAGAGAATGAATCATGTCAGTTTTCACCTCTGTTTTCTCAGCTTGCAGCAGAGGCAAGTATCTTTCTCAGCGTCGTTAGTCATCTACTGAAGTTCTACCACACAGTTATTTGCCAACAGCAGGTGCACATTGTCAAAGTTATGAGTAGCTGTAGCTAACACCTACAGTGCGCTGAGAGCACACCCTGGACACTCAAACTATCCGAGAAGGTCGTGGATCGATCTTTGCGATTAGCTCTGCTGCAGGCTATTGGCTCACATCGGGCCGTGGCTTTCTGTGCTCTCACCTACCGGGGATGTAGCCTCAAAAAGACCAGGAGTATTTATGGAAGGCCTGGGTGGCATGGCAACTGGGGGATTGTGTCTAAAACGCAGAGGGGAATGGAAAGGCCGAGGTGTACACAACAGCTGATTGCACTGTATTTAAAGGGGAATGCCAACCAATTTAATACAGTAGATTTATACGCTCTATTAAACATGAATGTGTGTGGATTACAAGCAACTCCTTCTCGAAGCCTGAATCCAAGGAACCAAAACATCTTCCCTCTGCAATAGTACAATACAGCAGACTACATTGATACCTTGAATGATTTAAGATCCTCTGCAGACATGTTTTAAGACAAATGGAGACACTCTGCGTCTGATTAAAAGTTAAATTAGTAACATGTTTACATGCTTTAAGGATCAAGAACACTTTATTTTCCCCATAATGTCTGTCTGAATATACCTGTATTCACCCTCTGTCCGAAACCCTCCGTTTAAGCCCCCCCCCCCCTTCTCGAAAAAGCCCGGTCTGCTCTGATTGGCTTGTGAGATAAAATATGGTGCACATTTGAAAAGGTAGTTCTTAACTGTGGGTAGAGACACAGATGGGGGACAGTATATTCCAATGAGCATGCGTGTGACATAGGAAGGGGAGCCAAACCTGATTGGCTCTAACAAAAAAACCGAAGGGTTGTCTCATGTCACAGTTTGAGGGTTGAAAGGCACTTCAGATACCCAAATGTATGTGCTGATGCCGCTCCCAGCCACCCCTCGGAAGGAAGCTCAGTTCGACCGATCTCTTTATTTCGGTCACTGCTCAAAGCTCATGACCATAAGCGAGCGTTGGTAAATTGATGGACTTGGAAATCGAGAGCTTTGTCTTCCGGCTCAGCTCCCTCTTCACCACAATGGTCCGGTACAACGCCAGCATCACCGCTGATGCCGCACCAAACGGCCTCTCCGTGAGCAGGACCCCAAGATACTTAAAATCTCTCGCTTGAGGCAGCAACTCAAGCAATCCATTGTTTTCCCTCAGAGAACCATGGCCTCAGACTCGGTGGTACCGACTCTCATTCCGACCACCGCTCACTCGGTTTCAAACCGCCCCAGTGCACGCTGGAAGTTGTTGGAAGTCAAATTCCAACAGAACCACGTCATCTGCAAAGAGCAGAGATGCACTTCTGATGCTCCCAAACCGGACACTCTCCTCCCGCTGGTTGTGCCTTGAAATCCTGTCCGTAAAATTCCCAAAAAAGATTGGTGACATATGGGACGATCCTGGCAAAGGTCAGCACCCACTGGAAGTGTGTCTGACTTTGTGTCGGGTAGACGGACACAACTCTCTCACAGTTCTTTAACCGCAGATCACTTGTAAAGATCACATGATTTTGGGACCTAAACTTCCTTGAAAGCCATCACGAATACTCCGACCCAGACTTTACATTCCAGTGAAGGCATGCCACTGCAGGTCTGTCAGTATGAGACAGACAGGAGCACTGCAGTAGGTCTGGTGCGCAGAATGTATTGGATTAGGAAGGTTAGACCTGTGTGCAGGCTGCCGAATGGCCTTTTTTTCAGATACCATATTGGCCCAAATTGATCCTGTTACTTAAAGATAGTGTTGTCTTACGAGTTGTTTTTTGACTTCAAGTTGCAAAACTTGCGAATTTATATCCGTCTAGTATATCAGCCCCAAATATTCCCAGTAAGACCAGTTAAACCTACTGACTAGTTTTCTGTTGGCTTTTAGTAGCTGTGTTTTCCTGCCGCAGAAGTGTAAAGTATCTCTTTAAGCCTTAACTGCCAAAACTGACTGGACAGGGTAAATTAGAAATACTGCCATGTTGTCATGAAATGTCATGTTACAAGAATAAAAATGAAAATAGACCTTCTTCGTGTGGTCCTAAAACTGACTTGAGCTTGCCAGGAGAGTGTGAGAGCATGTGAGAAACAGAATGAAGGAGCTGCTACTGATTCTGTTTAACGGTGTAAACATGTAAAATAGAGACCAGTAGGCAAACGGATTAATGACTTCATTTAAATGCAATTTTATATTGGCTATCAAGTAGATGATTAAAATACTTTTGTACCAGTGTTCAAAGATTGATGTCACTTTGTTGGGTTTTCCTTTTATTAAAAGCACATATTGCGATGTGAACGGGTCGCCCCTGATTAATCTACAGAGAATTATCACCTGAATCTGAAGCTTCCTTCAGCGTGTCCCCTTTAAGTCTGACAGCTTGATTGGCTCAATTGCTTTTTAACCGTCAAAAACGCCGTTTCATTTCACAATGCCAAACGAATTAGTAAACTCGAACACGGTTGAGTGCGTGGATTCAACAGTCAGGTCGCAGAGCGATAAATACATGTGACTAGAGCAGAGTCATTTGTCCCGGTAATGATTGCCAATAGTAACCTTTCTCACTAAACACAAAAGTCAGATGATAGTGGCTTTTTGTCCAGTGCGACAGCAGCATTCATGGCAGCTGTTATCAGAAAAAGCTTTGTGAGAAACCCACCGTAGACGACCTGCTCGGTACCAAACAACGGACAGACACATGGCTGGTGAACATAGCTAAAGAGACAGATGTTTTCCTCAGGAGTCAGTGGAGATCAAAAGCAGAGCTAAAAGAGAGCGAATATTGGACTTGCATTACATTCAGCACAAAACTAGGCCTGTTTATAAGGCCAATGGCTCAGCAACACATCATTGTTTGTGTGCAGCCTGTGGTTTTTTTTGTTGGTTTTTTACCTGGAAGTGAAATACTGAGAGCAAACAACAACACTTTCAGTCACCTGTGAGGGGAGCTTCAATGCCAAAAGCTACTGATTCAGTCAGTGACAATAATGACTCAGAACACCCAGAACGTTAACGATTAATGTTACAAACATCTCTATTATTTAGTTTACAGTGATTTACGTTTTTTTATTTATTTAAAGGTTTTAAATATGCCTTTCTTCGTTCAGTGTTTCTTACCTAAAAAGCTTAAAGTTGCAAAAGAGGGGATGGTGTCTCATAATCAGGGTTATCTTCTATTTGGGTCAGTGCGGAAATGATGAAAGGAATCAATGTAAGTGGGTCTGTGCATGCTCTCGACCTAATCACACAGATCTCAGACAGGCGATTGTTCACCTCTTAACCCATGTGATGAAAGACGGCTTTTTTCATCAGAAGGCTTTTCAGCACCATCTCCCCACAGACCTCCGCTGACCCACCAGCTGGCCTCAGAGAGAGACACACAGTCACACACTGTACGCACAAGTGCTGATATTCTTTCACAGGACTCGGGACGTGAGCTGCATATCACAGCGCCGCTGTATGATCCTCTTCCCATCACCCCGCTATCCATCCTCTGTCTTTTCTCCTCCCTGTTCAGCGTCTGCCTCCCTTACTCTCTCTCTGCTGAGCCTCTCCTCCCGACTCTCTCAGCTCTGCCCTCGTTGTTCTCGCAGCCGAGACTCGGGGCAGAGATTCCCCTAATGTTTATCAGCGATCGAGTGGATGCTGTCAAGGAATAAATAACCATTGCGTTTGGTGATTGCTTGATGAGATGTAATTAGGCGCGCCGACTGCAGATTAATCAGGAGAAGGCTCGTGCTAAAGTACCGCTCTCAAGGAGGCATTAAGACGAGCAACATATACTCAAAATCCCAATACTGTGTAATTATAGACTCAACATTAAAGTGAAAGCGATAGAATTATACTTCACAGTAGAATATATCAGCCTTTCAGTATGTCACCTCTGCTTCTGGACAGCACAAGATTAAAAATAATAACCTGAAATATAGATGCAAATCATTGGTCAATTACTTTAAAATATCCTGGTTGAAAATTGGTAAAAAAAAACCTGATTATGAGAGAAGTTTTGCATGAAGAGTTATGCCCTTCTCCAAAGGTCACACTATTGGTGAAACATGTTACACTATATTGTCAGCCTTACAAAAACAAAGACTTTCGATTGATTTTTTTTATTCCCAGGAAAGAGTGACCTGAGCCTGACAGGTGATGCTTGAAGCCATCACTGGACACCAACTGATCTGACTACAGTACAGATGTGACAATGTGTTGAATTGTTCTGTTGAGAATGAGTCCCAGACGTTTTGCCTTTAATCTCCCACCCAAACACACGTCTCATCCAGCGCCGTTCTAACCTCCTCAACTACATGACAAGTTGTGATGCCCAAAGAAACCTCCGCACAAAACATGTCTGGTTCAGACACGGTAGATAATAAATAAATGACAAAAGTTGGACTGAGAAAAACACACATTTGGACACAGAAAGCAATAAAAACAGACAGAAAAGAAAAGGGAATTCTGCAGTCAAGAGAGAAAAGACAGATCATCGTCGTGGGAGCAAGAGAAGGAGACAGAAATGGGACAACGGGAGGAGTAAGCAGAAAGAAGTCTTCCCTACCTCTGGCCATTGCTGCTCCCACTATAGTCCATGTAACATCCCTCTTTGGTCGTTTGCTGAACACCCAGCCGGTCAGTCAGTGGGCTCCAGGATGCGGAGTCGAGGCCGGTCTGGACTGGTGTCTGGTTCCCAGTGAGCAGTCAGCAGCAGCCGAGTCGTCCTCTCTGCTCCACACAAACACTCGGCTTACATGCAGCACGACAGCAGAGGCACTGGAGCCTCGGCAGGGACAGCAGCAACATCCCTCCCATCCACCCTGAATTAATTAAGCCTTTTTTTCCCTCCCTCAGATGCCCTCCCTCTCTCCTTCTCTCTCTCTCTCTCTCCTTCTCTCTCTCTCTGATTCTCATGTGCGCATGGTTAACGCTCTCTCTCTCTCTCTCTCTCTCTCTCTCTCTCTCTCTCTCTCTCTCTCTCTCTCTCTGCCTCTCTCTCTCTGCCTCTCTCTCTCTCTGCCTCCCCCTGTGTTCAGTTTCCTCTAGCTCTCTTCCCTCTTTCTGTCTCACTGATCAACAGCTGTGAGTGGCTCGTTTTTTCCTCCATTCATCCTTCTGCAGGATTAAATCTGTCTTTCCTCTCTTTATACATATATAAATAGTATAATATTAATGAATTAATAATTAATAATACTATATTAATTGCCAACGGCTGCTTCTCTGCAGTGACTGTTATGACAAGACCTGAAAACTTTAACAATCATGACTGAAGCGCTAAATGATTTATTGATAATAGTTGCTTTTATTAAATTTTTACCAAAATTTTGAATAAAACTTATTAATAAAACATCATTCTCTCTAATGTGCCAAACATTGTCCATCTTATCGAGAGTTTGTTGCATCTCACACATGCTACATACAAACGTGAACTTATTAATGAAATTATATTTAATGTCGCCATCTTGGAACGCATCAGAGATGTCGGAAACCTCCCGTGGAAAGTTCCCCATTATTATCCTTCAGTGATGGTGGGAGCCTTACAGCAGTTCTATAAGAGGAGTATATGTTTTGTTTTTGTTTATTTTGTTATGTGCATGCTAGGAAGACCAAGGAGAGGAGACACTGGATCAGTTTCCAACATGTTCAGGATTTCATGCTGGATATTTCCCCAGAACTTCTGTCATTTTGGACAAGAACACGGGGATGTTATTCTCGACTACATTATATCGAGAAGTGTTACTAAAGTTTTGTTCTTCCCATTTAAGGGGGCAGGATTTTAGAAACATCTGAATATATTGCAGTCCAGTAACACCGGCACCAACACCCCGAACGCAGCGGCTACGGGCCGTTTCTACAGAATTGCACCGCTAGGCAACAGCGTGTGTCCACGTTTGCATCCTGTCAGCTGATGTCATTCACATACGCTGCAGCAGGAATTGTGAAATGGTCTATCGGTCTGAGGACAGATAAACCTCGGAGGGATACATTTCTGGGGTTCCAGTGGAGTTAGCGGATATCCGGGCCAAGATTTTTCTTTTGTGCGCTGCTCGTTGTTTACGGGCCGATCAGCAATTTGAGATTCGAGACAGTAGTTGGAGGAGTGAGACGACGCATACGACCCGGAGTGTTTCACAAGTAGACGGTTTACACTCAAATTTTAAAACCAATAAAAAGCTACATCATCGCCAGACGATAGCCGAGATTTCCAAGATTGCATTTCAGCTTTTGCTTTAAAAAAAAAAAAAAGTGACTGGTTTCTCTATTGTGGGCATGCCTTTAATTAATTAGAGTAAGCCCAGCGCATGTCAGCTAATAATTCAGAATGTAACAGGAAAAGAAGACCATGGTTGCAAACAAATGATCACAAAATTGCAGCTCGTAAAAAGACATAAGAACGATATTCTTTACCAAAATCAAACTGGAATAGGAAGAATTTCAGACTCTCAGAACAAGATCAAATTCAACATTTATTTGGGGGAAAACTGACATTGCCATGGAAGCAGGAAACTACGGCAGACCAGGTCAAAGAAAAACTGAACCGAGCTCCCTCAAACTCTGCCTCCACTTTCAGATTTTTCATTTTCATCTCTTCTCTTCTGCAGTGTAGTTCTCTCACCATGACAGCATCTCTCTTTCTCTTCCCTTCTCACCCACACGAGTACATCCTGCACACGATGCCACACAGACTCTAAAGGTGTCACTGCAACGTGTCGGCCTGTTGTTGTGCTGCTGGCTATTTCTGTAGTGAAGTCATTGATGAGTAAAGCCTGCAGCCATCTATCTACCTCCCATTCTCACAGCTCCTCTTACAGCACGCACACACACACACACACACACACACACACACACACACACATTTTCTTTTTTCATTTCTAGACGTGTTGTGTTGCTTCATTTCACAGAATCCTGCGTTGCTTCCTGCTGCTGTAGCTAAAAGAGGCTGATCCCCAGAGAAACGAGAGGAGCGTGCCTTATTTCTCTTTTCTCTCGTTCTCACATTTCCATCTTTCTGTCGTCTGGATGTCACACAGCGTCGTTGTCAGTTTCAGCCAATAAAATGTCTGTGTTGCTTTTCATTCACGTGTGTCAAATGAAGCAGCAAAGAGAGGTGGGGTTGTCAAAAACAGAAGCAAAGAACAGAGGCTGTACTGTAAAGCTACAATCCAAAGATGGGGAGAATGGTAACGCCGGGAACTCTGTGGAAGGAAAAGCGAAAAGAAAAGAAGAAACCTACGGGACACGAGCTAATCTTAATTGGCGATCCTGCTGCCTTGGTTCTCCAAAGTAGCCCGGAGGAATGTGATTGTGTCGGAGGAGAAAAACACAAATTCGCTCCAAGTTTCTACCACTTTCCAAAGAATGTCAAACATTCACTGATAACTTTCAAGTCGCTGTTGAGATTCTGAGACAATCAGAGGAGGGAAAGGGGGGGGGTTGCGCCTGTTGAATGTCAGAGATGATGATGTAACTCAGGGTGTAAATGTAGACAGCGGAGGCTGAATGAGCAATTAAGAGTGATTCACTGGTTCCATCGACAAAAGGCCAATGGGATTGTTCTATTGGCTTCAGCTTCATCAGCTCTGTGGCAAACAAAAATGTACGACACACGTTTTGTTCAGTAAGATAATCGTCACAAAGGAACACACTTCTCTGATTTTTGAATCGTGAATGTGATCGTTAGAAAGCTAGTTGGGCTATAAACAAACTCACGGTCGCATGAGCACGAGTATATGAAACGAGGCTGCAAAGGTGGACTAGATTTTAGCAACAGCCTTTTTAAGACAAGAAAAAGCTTCACAAGTTGCTCAAAGGGTGGGGTATTTATCAACGTATTTTATTTCGCAGGACAAAACGTTAATATCTCTTAAACTTGTGTTAACCACAGACCTTAATTCAATCACAGTAATTGTGTTAAATAAATCAGACAATCCACAGAAAATGTAGTATCCCTCGATTTTTGTGGTCTTGATCGGTCTTGATATAAAACAAAGATTCCTCTTTGTCTGATAACGAGACAAGACCAAGTACAAACTCGATTCCAAGAAGAGAAGGAGACCTTTTAAAAACTGCTCTTGAAACCAAGACCGATCTCGAGTACAAACCTCATCATTTCTTTGAGAAAGTAAATCTGAACAGAAAACCTCCTCTACAGTTACCATTTGACAGTTTTTTCCTTCCACCTATCAAACCTGAGGTGTGTGGGCGTGCCGTGTGGGCTCGGACACAGGTGCCGTTTAACCGTCCAAGTGATGTGATGTTGGTTTCATCATAAGAAGAAACGGCAGTTACAACGTCAAAAAAACGCATCACACACCGCAACCACGGTGAGACTCTGAGTGGTTTGTGAGTAGATTTTTAAATGTGATGCTCAGGCTGGAGTCAGCAGGTCACAAGTTAGTCAGTTTCATGCGACACCTGCTACAAGAGAGAGAAAAGAAATCTATCGACAGAAACTCTGCTTCTTTGTTTGTGCTCTGGAGATCCTCTGTGACCTTCGTGGTTGGGTTCGGGGCTCCACTGTTGTTTCACTTCCTGTAAACTTCAAGTTTCCTCTTCGTTATCACAGAACAGTATTGTTAATACGTCACAACCACACATTTCACCATCAGTATTTTAGTTTTTTTACAGTTTGTTTCCATGTGCACAATGAATCAAACGGTCTGCACACACCCCACCACCACGTCCACCCACGCAGACACACACAAACAGGACGTGTGAAGTAGTAATAAATGGACAGATGCAGCGGCTTGAACGAGGCAGCTGCAGCGAAAAGGGACAACAACAAGACCCCCCCTTCTTTCCATTCCATTCTGTTCAGCCGTTTTCTTCTCCCAGTAACATGACTTATCTCTTTATCCTCAATCGCACATGGAAAATAAAAGCAGCAGTCATTCACCTCCCCGTCTGTCCAGCACTACCCGTCTGAGCTCCATTCATGTGCATCAACGCCTCCCCCTCAACGTGTGAATCAAAAGAGTTCACAGAAATCAGTCAGGGACGCTCTCCAGAGCCATCGGTAACATTTGTGTACAATTCATAATGGAGCGCCCTCACGGCTGGTAAGTGGCTGACAACTCAATTACTGGAAAGAGTGGGTTGTTTTTTTGTACGGCGGCCTTGACATCAGGCATTCATTCCTCCATCAGCTGGCAGTCATTTCTGAGAAAGGCACACACACGGAGGACAACTCAACGGGCCTCAGATAAGGTCAGCTCATCAAAAGCATCCAGCTTTCCGGATATTTTTGCAGAATAGTTGCAGAAGAGGCAACCTTTGAGTTCAGAGTTAAACACTCTACTGAAAATAAGACAATGTGGTTTTGTGGCCACAAAAGAACAGTCAAGAATAACAAGACTGCATATTAAAGTCATAATTCGTTAGATTTCAGTGCAGTTTAACTCTACAGGACAACTGTTGTATCTGTTTACGGTGCAGCCGAACAGACTTGCATTATTTTAGTAAAAGGAGTCAGTTAATAAGACTTACTACGTGTAGACCTCTAAAAATGGGCTTTGATGTCATGAAAATCTTAAGGATTATAAAGGAATAGAACCCAGGGACAACATATTAAGAGGACACGAGTAGAACTGCTGTAATGTATGCAGCCAATCCAGATACATCACAGCCAGCCAATGATGGGATTTATATTTGAGCAGCCTGCACTTCCTCTGGGGAGAAGAGGCATACGGGTGATTATCACTCTGAGCTCCCACTGGGTCCACTCTACCAATTTTGATACACTGAGAAAAAAAATAAAAAATCTATTGGATTGATGAAAAGCCAGTGTGATTGCCATTCTATATTCTAAAGAGGTTTGCTCAGCCTCTCGAGCACCTTGAAATAAAGTCAACTTTAAAAGTCACAGAAATTCTTATTTAAAATCCACTCTG